GCGCAACCTGGTATCATTGATGATTACGAGTATGCTATGTACGGCAAGGTGATGGCGGGGAGCTCTGGTTGGGGCGTGGGAAGAGATCATGTCTTGGCAGGTATATAAGAAGATGAATAAGACTGTCGGAACCGAGACTGTTGCTTCACGCACTATCATGTAAGGAAGCGATGAAAACCAGAAAGAGTTCTAAGTGTTTCTTATTAAAAAATACATTTTATAATTTTTTAATATTTAATTATTTTCTTCTCAAGAACCAGAAATTATGGTTCGTGAATATATATGTGAACTGCTGTGGTTTAGATACGTCTCCTTTGGAGGACTGCTTATGAAGTTGGAGGCGCAGAGGAGCGACGTGGACGAGGCTATTCGTCTTGATGACCGTCTATACCTCCTCATGAGGAAAGTTTACTAAGTGGCAGCTATTATTACTCTAAAGAGTATGTCAACGTTCCTCCACGTTTGCAAGTGTTGTGCAGTCTTTAGTAGAAGCTGGTCACTGATTGTTATATGCATACGTTAACTCATTGAAGTGAGGTTTCACTCCTCAGACAACAGGATGTAATCCTGAATGTGACTGCACTGGTGCCTTTGAATGCTGGTGGGCTCTGTAATATTGACATAACCAGGATAACATCATCGCAATATTCATCTCGGCTCTATTGGCGTGTAGCGTATTATATGGAACGCAAGGCTGTGGAAGTCTCTCATAGCAAGTGGCAAGCTGTTATCACTAGTTCTGTGGAGTGAATCCGCTGATGCGATATGAGCTAATGCACCATCATCATCATCATGCACATCACTCCTCCTATCATCACCTACATCAGTCCAGTCACCATCGTCATCATTCTCATAAGCATCATCAGGATGTACATGGTACTCGCCACAAGCAACATGGACGTCATACGGAGAGCCACCGTCATGCGAATCACTCGGGTCATGACCATCGACTCATCGTGAACATAGTGGAGAATGCCATCATTTAGATAACGGCTTGCTCAGTGGATATTTCAGTGACCAGGCCGGATATCATCTGTCCCGGGCTGGGGAAATGTCTCGAGCAGCCGTTGATGAGATGATGAACATCCAGTTGCCGAAGTTATTAGTGAGTCGAGCAGTTTGAAGTTTGAAGGAGATTCGCGACTCGTTTGCTTGGGAGTGATTTTCCGAGAGAGCAAATGCTTGTTGTCACTCAGCGAACATACAAGACGCTGTCTTTCATGGACGGTGCGCGCAGGCCGGAGTATTATTGGCCATATCCCCCATCTGAGCCGATACAATTCGCTGATAAAGAACTGACTATGGGAGTGCCGCTGGACAAGTCCAATAAAATACAGGTGCGCCTCGTAGACTGTGGCGATATATATGATTCTGATTGGAATCGAGCCAATTCTGAAAACTCTTAGTCAAGTGAAGAGTTGGGGTCAACATTAATGGTACACCATGGGTAACCAGTAGTTACTTGCCACATATAGTTGTGTTAGGAAAAGATCTTTAAAAGGGTAGAAGTTTGCGGCTACACTCTGAGTAGGGGATCTGCTAAGTTTAGTGGAGGCGTTAGTCGATTATATGAGGCTATAGTGATGCTTGTTCATCAGCTAGTAGATTATTTTTTGTATTTCTGAACAGTTCACGAAAGACGCAGAAACTCTCATCCCGAATGAAATTTTTGCTCAGGAGATGCTTTTGGAACACCCCGCCGAAATGCTCTCGGTGCCTAGCACTATTGCACCGATATTGGAGATAGTTCGGCAAGCTGAACAACGGGTGCATGGCTCGCATGGTCGTTCTTGCTATACTTCATTCTGTTGAAACATAGTATTTTGTGAGTAAGTGACGGTTCGAGGTGGTTGAGCAACAGGAGATTCAAATGCAGCAGCCTTGGTAGGCTCGCTGCGATACAGGCTTTTGTGACCCTCAGAACCATTGACGCGCGCATAATAACACACGGAGTATGCAGAGAGAGAAGGGACCCTTTATCCTTGGGGGACGTCCTTGCTTTCATGTGTCTCCAGTGTCGGACAATGGTTCTCGGATTCTTACGACGTGGTGGTCACTAACAACCTGTTAGCGGTGGAAGGAGCCTTGTGTTCCAACAGCTCCCGTTTAAAACACGAAACGTATGGTAGAGCTTGTCGACTCCACAGCGATTTCACAGCGTGTGATTCTCATTAGGAACAAGTCTTCTGAGAGCTGAAAAATCTACAGTTCTGGTTTCAGTCTGCATGTTTACATACATGTGCTGCATGTATATACATGCCGCGCCTCTGCAAGTCTCTCTGAGAGTCAACAGTATTAGGTGGGAAAGATGTTGAATGATGAAGTCCTTGGGAGCGTGCCAAGCGTATACTGCCACCTCCGGACCTCTGCGTGCGATCGGACAACGTCCGGTCATGCGTCCAAAGTATCTACTACGACTGTGAACGCGTGTTGTGGGTCCAGTTTGCCTGCACCCTTGTTATCCTATCAAACCTTCGCCTTCCTCTTTATAGCGAATGAGCCCAATATTCTGTGCTGAGCATAGTGTGGTATTCGTACAGAACTTAAGTGCAGGTAGTGCGCTCATTGCTATTGTCCTAGGGTCGCAGTATTGGTTGCTCTAGTTCGAGTTCCCTTGTTGTGTTGTTCTTAGAGTTCATCAACTGATACCTCGACACGCGGGAGACACGAAATGCGCGTGTAACGGGTTTAGAAAAAAAACGACGAAATCCTTTTCACTCCCAATACTGACACTTTCAACCCCAAGGAAAGGAAGTGGTGGTGAAAGATGCAAGGCGGGAATAACAGTTAGTCGCTGTACTACGGTAAAGGGCCGTAATACAAGTGCAACCCGAACTACACGCTCCTCGAAAAGGGGGACTATGGGTGAAAACAAAGAAAGGGAACTGATAAACTGATCGCTCGATACTCATGAACTTTGTGTAATTTGTCTCATTAGCTAGAGTGTCTCATAGTTGTTACTCAATGAAGTGGTTCAACCATTGTCACCTCTGTTCTATTTTTAATTTACTTTTTGTCCTGGTCATCTTAATAATGTATTCTGGTTATGATATCAATGATTTGGATGAGTTGGATTATAGTGGGGATACGGGTACCAATGACTTAATGGGGACTGACTCTGGTTCTAACCAGGGAAATGACTTCCCTTCCTCCACAGATAGCTTTCATGATGCATCATCCGAGAAACCCGACGAAGCAACTCGAAACGTAAACCTTTATCAAGGTTCAAGCTGCTACTCGAATGAATCAGAAACCCGAAGAAGTGGCCGCATTCTAGAGAGGACACGCCATGAGGTCTTTTGATATCTCCTTTATAATATGAATTCATCCAAATCGCTGCAGGCCCTGGGTCTCGGGCAGGGTCCTTAGACTCTGGTCACCCGCCTCGGAATTCGATCAGACTTATTGGATTTTGGTTAAATGCCTTGGAGGTTTTGCCCTGCGCGGGCGAGCGAGATTTTTTACATTTGGTCACCTGCCACGAATTTTGGGATCTGCCTCTCCAAGTGAAGTTGCAGACTCGGTGTCGTTACTCTACAAGGACGCAGCAGCTGTTGTGGATAAAGTCATATTGCATGGTGTTGGCCTTAGGGAAGCTTTCTACAAGTCTAAGCTGAAAAGTACTAATCCACAGAAAGTCTACGCGTTAGTGTGCAAAACGGTCAAGTCCAGGGCCGGTATGCGGATCCTGATCCACGCGTGATCCTGAGAAAAAAATCACGTCATAAGATCAATGTGATGATTTCATGAGATGAACCTGATTTTTTTGCTCAGATCAACAAAATTGGGATCATGGGACAGGATCATAGATCATTCTCGTGATCCGTAGATCACATCACCCATGATTCTGTCAGTTTTGGATCGGGATCGTAGATCATGGATCAGTGAGCTAAAATTGATAGATCACGACTCACGATTCATCAGTGATCCGGTCACGGTCGATCACTTGCACGAATCAGTATTGATGAGATGAGCGCGATCAAGAATCACGGCGGAGCGATGCTGCTTCGCTCCTTTTGTTGCGCATATTCGAAAGACAGAATTCAGTAAGTAAAAACCCTTGGTACGGGAGTGTGGGAAGGGGAAGAGCACACAACCCTTACGCTATTGGAAGCTTGGGAGTTGGTGCTCTTCCATGTCTAACGATGGCCTAGATGATGTTGAGCAGCTAAGACGCTAACCATCGAGCCGATGGTGCGTCACCATCGTCAGACATCTCCCGACCTAGGGAAAGAAAAAAAATGATTCATGGCCGCACCTTGGTGCGCCCATTCGCGCGAGGAATCGCGATGAATGTTGATGCCTATGAGGGTGTTGCGATCGATTCACCACAGCGCACGCAATATGATATCGATTAACCGGGAACACAATGCAGTGCACGCGTGCACTCCCTCCCTTCTTGTTTTTACTATCGCTACGTTTCACTGCGCTCTCAATTGCATCGTAGATAGGTTGCCAAATATCTAGATAAAAATATACTATTGAGTTTTTTTCGCTTAATCTGTAGAAATGAATAGGTTTATTACACGGCCATCGTGTCTATTTGAATTGCTTAGAGTTTGATATATTCCTCCATCCGCCTTCCTCCATCTAAGGCTTAGATGGACGGAGACTGCGTGCGAATGTATGAATCTCCTCAGTATGCATTTACAAGTGAATCTTCGTACCACGAAATGTGTAGCATTTTGAAGGGATCAGGATCACGGATCACGAGTAGTGTAACGTAGCGAAAAAGCCCCGTTACAGGATCACGGCATTTTAACACGCAAAGTACCACTGATCCGTAAACTGATCCTTTTGATTAATCAGAGGCTTGATCCAATATTTGATCCGGATCAGAGGGTGATCCCACGGGACCGAATGAATCACGGATCAACGAAATTTCTCAACTCGTCTGAGAATTTCTCAACCCCTTGATCTTTGGATCACGGATCAAGTTTTTTCTCAAGAATCATAGATCAGGATCAAAAATGAGGTTCACGCGAGATCCAGATCATAGATCACGGATCAGTATCAAAGTTCAGGGATCGAGATCAACGGTCAAGGATCAGGATCAAAGATCACGATCCGTGATTCACGGATCGAGATCAAGAATCGCAGATCTGACTCACGGATCTCGGATCACGAAAGATTTGGCTCAGACGTCAAGATCAACGAGCGATCTGGATCATGTGCTTGATCCGTGGATCAGGATCCGCATACCGGCCCAGGAAACGTATAGAATCGGCGTTGCGATCAGCGGGTATTCTGGACACCCTAGGGGATCGCAGTCTCGGCCTTGTCATGACCTATGACTTGATCTGCGGTCAAGGCCTTCGCGGAGGCGGCAAATTGGCTCGAGTTTTGAACGAGAAAGCGGCTATTTTGAGGAAGGCGGTTAGCGATGACCAGTCCAGTAGCAGTGAGGATAAGCAGCCTGCTCAGCTCCCACGATATGTTCGTGTGAACTTGGCAGAAATCTCTAGGGAAAATGCTATCGAACAATTAGGCTCAGCTGGTATCAAATCCAAGACAGATCCACTGATTCCTGATGTAATAATCTCAACACTGCCGTCTAAAGATGTGATATGATGTTTTAGGTTATAACTGTAGGTCCGTGGAGTTCCAAGGCGCTCATCGAGTCTCCTCTGGTGAGAGACTTTACCCTCGTACTACAGGACCGTGGCAGCTGCTTGTCTGCGCACTCTTTGCTGGCCGGCGTTCTGCCAGGGGAGAAAATCACAGTCGTAGACGCATGTGCTTCTCCTGGTTCCAAGACGATTCACATGCTACAACTAATGAGGTATCGTAAAATAGAAGGTACTATGGTAGCAATGGAGCTTGATCCTAAACGGGCAAAGGTGCTACTGGACCGTCTGGCAAAGGCTGGTTTCTTACCACGAGATGGGACGAGGACTTCTGAAAAAGTTGCTCATCTGTCTGAGGCGCACGGCCCTGATATCAGTGTTGAAGTACGTGTTGGTGATTTCATCAAGTACAGCTCTCCCGAGGTCACCCATGTGAATTTGGACCCGAGCTGCAGTGGTTCTGGATTGGTCGACGTTCACGCTGACTCTGAGAGTGTCGGCGCCCAGCGGCTCCGCAAGCTTTCATCATTCCAATGCCGAATGTTGGACCATGCCTTGACGGCATTCCCCGCTGTTCGGACGGTTTGCTACAGCACATGTAGTATCAAGAACGAAGAAAATGGTGAAGTTGTGAAGAAAGCTCTTAATAGACTGCAAAGCGGGTATAGACGGGAGTGGCCTTTTGAAGTGGGGTCCTGTTGGAAGGAGCTCACCCACGGCGCTCGAGACGTTCAAGTTCGACCTGAAGTGGATCACGGTCGGGGCTTCTATCTCTGCAAACTCGTCAAAGACGCTAGTGTGAAGCGTAGGAGGTCGAGTGACGACGCTACTGGTGTGGGAGAAGTGTCGGCTCCGAGTGCGTCTAGAAGTAATCCTAAGAAGCACAAGCGCTCTTCGAAGAGCAAGGGCATTACTATTACCAAGTGATTACTAAGGTATTTCATCTACTCCTGTTTTTGTCTTGTCAATTATTCTCAATAAGAACAAGGATTGCGACACTCAGTCATGGCAAGGGAAATCCTGGCGGCCACATACTGCGGCGAAGTGGCGACTGTGAATTCCCATACTATGTGTTATCTTGATGGTGTGGTATTACACTATATCAACGGCGGCAATACGAGGCAAGTGAGTTTTCTTTTATGTGTACGGCCTCAAGATTGACGCTGGCCGATAGGGTCTGGATCAGCTGATGTCCGGTCTTTAGTGATCACATACAAGTCAACACTGTATTAGTGGAAACAAGCATGAGTAAATGAGAATTGGTGATGTGTTCCATCACCAGGAGAAGCTTCGAAATTCCGTCAAATCAGGTTCTCCATCGATTCTAAAGTCGCCACCTTCAACACGGGAAAGTTACCATCAGTGACACGTACATCCTCATTACAGTTCAATATACACATCCTAAAAACTGCGACCATAGTTGGTGTAGTAGCAGTGTTGGGTGGTGAGGCTCTGCCTGGGGTAGAATTGGGCACAGTCGTGCTGTGTGGCGGCAAGTCTATAGGACCAAGATCGAAACCTACTTGTTCCTGATGAGCCTCATCTTTGAAGATGGAGCCAGTCGAAAGGTTGTCAAGTACTCGCAGCGGTGTTCGAATTGAGGGAGCATCACGATCACTGGAGCCCCGGTGGGTATACTATCTCGTACAGTAGCGGT